TGGTGTACGTCTGGGTGTGCCGGCCACGTGCAGGATACTTTGCAACGTGGCCTGGAACTTATCGCTTCGTTTCTGGCTACTGCTGGCCTGTCTCCTGCACCGGAGAAATGTGAACTACCTCTGCTAAACTGTGCAGCTGCGCTCCTGTGGAGCTGCGCTTGCTACGACACACAGCGATGCCAGCTCCGGATAGTTTTGAATCGACTTGACCCCGGACCATTTTGTGTGCAGAAGATACTAGGACCTTGGCCATCTGCCTCAGTTGCGCAGAAAGCAACTAAAGCACTGCTACTTTACCTTAAGTCAACAAACCTGAGCGACCGCCTGTAGACTGTGTGTGCTCCCCGAGTGTGCTCGTGATTGTGTGTACCTTCTCATCTTTCTGCAACCTCTTTTCTCCCCTTTATCCCTTCCCCAGTGCAGGGTAGCAAACCGGATGGGCGTCTGGTTAACCTCCCTGCCTTTCCTTGCATCTTTATCTCTCTCTCTCTCTCTCTCTCTCTCTATTTAGCAAGAAATATATTGAAAGTGCCCCCTCTCGGGTGCTGTTTAAAACTGCTTTTTTTCGCAGTTCTGAGCCGGCTGCACGTCCCAGAGTTGTGTACATAAGCAGCAACGGCATTCATACCTAGAAGAACTCGCTGATGGGATAGTTAGTGCATGTCTGAATTAATTATTAGTCACTTTTCCCGCGAAATGATGACCACACAAACGAAGAAAGCACATGAACCGGATTGTGCTCATTCGCAATTGTTTCTGCCTTTAGGAAACAGGCTGATGCAAACCCACGTTTCTTCAACGCATGTGCAACGTACTCGGGCCGTCTTTTACCCAATCATGCTATAAGGCACATGATCGCCAGATACCGTGCTTCTGACTCATACAGGGTGAGTGAAGAAACGGGGTATCACGAAATTGATACCCTGTTTTTTTGTGTAAGGCCTCCGAAATTTCTCTTGGTATGAATCCACATGAAGTGACATGCACGCTTGAATGGGCACCGTCGTTATTCTTTACCGTAAGAGCGTGTGCCCTCGATCGATCATTTACGCAGCACCCCGTCGTCTGGCTAACATGTCTCTTTACGCACGATAAGGGTATTTTGTAAACCACTTCAGTGGCACACTTCGTGAACGGCCACGCATGCTTATTTTTACAACTTGTCAGCTGCTGAGCATAATTCCCAGTGATTCGCCGGCCCAACTTTGCTTGTTTACTAGGGACGGCGAATTTCAGCAGTATTTCGTGCCGACTCGCCACCTTTTTAAGGTTGTGTGTAACCTTATGAATATATTGTACAAACAGCTGCAAGTGAGCACCCGTCCTGTTCATGTGTTGTCTTCATTTGTGTGGTCGTGGTTTCGTCGTGAAATTGACTATTCAATTCAGGCATTCATATCTAATTACAGCACATATTTAATGTCTGTAGCATAATATTACATGCTATTTTCGTATTCATATTTGCTTGTTCAAGAGTACAACAGCTGCGCTAATAGTGTCAATTGGATACAACTTTTTTTGCACTAAACTGTTCAAAACGCCCAATCAGCGTAAATATTTTCTCAGTATTGTTGATTTTATTAAGAAATATAAAATACAGTAATCACCGTAAGTTTATGCATCACCATCTAATTGATAATCTGTGCAGTTTGCGTCCTGAAATCATTACATTATGAGAACCCTTAGTGGAGGACTCCTGAAAATTCGACCACCTGGGGTTCTTGTGCACCAAAATCTCAGGAAACGGGCCTTCAGCATTTCCGCCTCCATCAAAATTGCAGCCGAGAACCTTAGCCACTAGACCACCATGGCGAGGCTATAAGCATCCAATCTAACACAGATGCGCCAACTGTGATTTTAACTTTTAACTGACTATACGCTACCCTCACGACAAAAGAAAAGCAAAAAGTAGAGTGGTTTAAAAAGAAGTTCTACACCCCTTTCTATGACGTCCATAGCGCTTTTCAAGTCGCTTTTGCCACAGTACGCTTTTGCTCTGCGGAAACGTGTTTTATGAGTTGGAAGTGGGTACTAATACTAGCGGTTACAGGACACAAAGTAAGTTTTCTCTTTATTACTCACGCATGCAGATGCCATACAATAACGAGTAGGAGTATGAGTGCTGGGCATCTTTCAGAGTGATTTATGAGGTGTTTTCGGCCTTAAGAAACAATAAAGGAAATTGTACGCCACTTTTTTTCTTTTCGTCATTCCCTTGAGCTCTTTACGAATCTCTCGAATTTCTGGCTTGCCTGTCAAAGAGTTTGACAAGCTCGGCAAATGATATTGTGAGTTTTAGCATCGCTTGCGCTGTGCGACAGTTCAAGGGACTGCTTTTACTAAAATAGATGTGCTCTTGTGTAGTTTGATTGAATTAGCAGATGGTAAATAATTTCTGCATATGTTTTCCTTTTGTGTGATTCAGTCTAATTTGTTGTACTACTGTAAATTTGGAGCCCCACCGCGGTGGTCTAGTGGCTAAGATACTCGGCTGCTGACGCGCAGGTTGTGGGATTGAATCCCGGCTTTAGCAGCTGCATTTCCATTGGAGGCGAAAACGTTGCGCGCCCGTGTACTCAGATTTGGGTGCATGGTAAAGAACCCCAGGTGGTCGAAATTTCCAGAGCCCTAGGAAATTTCCGACATCTTTCATAATGATACGGTTGTTTCGGGACGTTAAACACCCCACATATCATCCAATACTGTAAATTTAGAATTTCAGGCTAAAATTGCTACGTTTGTTTTTCCTGTAACACGCGCCAAATTTAAATTTTTTTTTCTGGAAAAGCAAGATATGATGCTCCAAGTTATTGCTCCAGGTCTTATCTTGGTTGTTCCACCTTTGCTAGCTGTGAGTGGTTACACTTGCACCTCCGTTTCATGTTCTTTGATATTGCATTGTTCCAAGGCGACTTGTTATATGTGATGCGCTTCATATTTTACATCTTTATATCAAGTATTCTGCATGGTAAGTATGTAGCGTCACTGTTAAGCCATTGTAATTTGCCTATTGTTTTCATTTTTGTATAATTGTTTCTCTAGAATTCGGATTGTCTGAACGCACAAGGGTTATTGGGAAACGAAAATGCCATTTTAAGACTGCTTTCTCATCATATTCATTAAATACCACTAGCCTTGCATGTTATGCATAAGGCATGTCACAACTCATGCAAACTGTGGCGTGTCATTGTAGCAATTGCAGTGTGCTTTGATATAATATTTCAGTATATGAGAAAGAAGGCATGCTGCATTGCACTCTTCCTGCTGTTAGTATGCTTCACTGCACTTTACTTTGGTGTTGTATTGAAGCAGGTTTAAATTAGTTCTTCATTTTTAGTGCAAATAAAGGCTCTTTCTTCTGTCGTACTTTTATACGCTTGCCTTGGTCGTTAGAGCTTCATGCCATACCATTGACGTCTGATTTTCTATCTTATTTTGTAGCAAGTGGAATCCTGCTCTGCACACTTGAAAAGGTTTTTCGTAAAGCTTCAATTTGTGTCTGAATCCTGTATGTGCTCTGTGTCTAATAAAATTAAGCTTGATTTCATTTAGCACTAAGGAATGATTTTGTGAACGTTGTGTTATAGCTCATTTTGAGTGATGCCTTCACAATTAGCTAGGAGTACATGTTATATGTGCGAGCCTTATATATATATATGTGCGAGCCTTGCTTCATATATGCACCATAAAAGCAGTGCCAGGGCCAGATTTTCACACTATGGGAGGAGCCACTACATTAGGACATCTTCGCCTGAAAGGGCTAGCTAAAGAGTAAGCTCTCTTGTGCTTCCAGGGGGAGGGGGGGGCTTACTAGTAGGTGGTGACACTCGAATTATAATATTTTTCGCCTGTGTGTTGGGACATAGTTCTGCATAAAAAACCCCACACCATTTTAGATCTTTCAGTGAATTACACCCCTACGTTACTTCTGTTGTTTAAGAGTGTTACGACGTAATAGATGGATTACAGCTTTACGCCCTTGAGACTACTTGGGTGTACATTCGCTTTAACACCCTCACTCTCTTAAGGCCACATGGGTGTACATTTGCTTTTACACCCCAAAGAAATGTTCGTGCCCTTGGGTGGAAATTAGAAAATACACCCATCCTATAGATGTAGTCCTGCTTGTTACATCCATTTCATGGGGTGTAGGGTTGTGAGTTATAGTCAATATATTACACCTATATGTGTGTCATTTGGTTTACAGTGCAGTAGCTCTCGTCTTCATTGTAGAGAAAAACAGTTTTCTCGCTTCCTTTTTATGCGTTACTTTTTTTAAATTTCGCAGATCCTGCACGCAAAACTGTGATATGATTCTCCGTAGAAGGGGACTCAGGATAATTGTTTACCACCTGAGGTTCGGTACATGCGCCTCATTTTAAGCACATCGGTGTTTTAGCAATTCGCCCAATCAAAATACGGTAGCCGAGGCCACAGTTTCCACCCACCCCCTCACTCTAGAGTCCATTAGCGTCATAGATACTAAATGACATTGGTGAGTTTGGTTCGTGCTTGAGCGATAATAATAACAGCAATGCTCAGTCTACAACATATTACAAGTGTTACTTATACTATATACTAATCACTGTGCTCTTTCGATCACCTGAAGTCCTTGCAGCATGCCAGGGAAGAGTCTCGTGATCATTTATTTTTCATCATTCTCCTTCCTTAAATTTTTCTTTGTTCGTTTTTGTTGTCTATTTTTTTAGTTCAACAAAAAACGGGGTTTCTTGCACAACCTTATGTGCCACGCTTGGTGGCACGGATGATAAAAATACATGAACACATTCACTGAAAAAAAACTTTTTGCGAAATGCACCACTTCGTCACATTTTGCAGCACAAGCCGCAAGTGTGACCGGTACTGTTTGTTGGTTTCAGAACTCCTGAAACCAACAAAGGCCTTACCTGCATACGTTCCAGACGTTGAAACAATAGTTAGATGACAAGCCTACTGGGAGTCCTGGGACAATACTTTCTTATAGTTGCCAAACGAAACAGTGACAAGATATATCATCAATTTTATTGAACCGACGTGCGGCTTCGCGCAATACCAATCAGCTACTATTTTTTTAGTAAAGAAACAACATACCAGTATCCAACTCAACAGCAAAATAACGCACTACCTTAAAATTGAAAGTAACGAGAACGTGTTTTTCACATCGTAACACTGTTACAAAGTTCTCGGTATTTTGTTTGCCTTCACCACGCAGCATAGTAACGTCAACTGGTGAAACGGAAAACTGATGCTTCGATATCATTTTCAGCATTACTTCTTTCGCTGAAATGTGGTGTGTTATACTAATGCGCACTTTCGTAAAGTCGAAACTATTGTGGTAGGCGTAAATTCTTCCAAGCATTTGCCAGGCTATCCATCTTGTACATGGCAAACTTTATAGCAATGGCACATACAGGGCAACATGACGTATTCACGTATTTGAGACCACCACGCTTTTTGTTTGCGATAAAATTCGTACTTTGCCACTCAAACAGCCACTTGAGGAACAGCCAATGGTAGAAGATAGGCTGTGAATTCCTAATGCGCGCAAAACAGACTGCTTTTACCTCTATCTTTCCACACCCACATTCAAGGATTTCGAACAGTATTGAAATAAGTACACTAGCTTTCAACTCGTGCCAAAAATATTATGTTAAAAGAGCCGTTCGTCTCAAGAGTTGGAGTTTGAGTGTTGCAGGGTCAACCTCATGACCGGCAAAGAAATGCTCTGGCACACTCTCACACTGCAGGAGTTTCAATTATGCGCGACTCACCATGAAGAGCTGTTGACTATGTGAATGCGTTCCTTCAAAGGATCTGTCATTCGTTGCTACTTGACAGGTGTCGCAGCACACGCATTATATTGCCGGTAGCGCGGAAAATAAAACGCGCAATATTTCTGTCACTATACTTTTTCTTTGTTTAAGCGCATACCACAACTTCCACTCGCGTGCTTCGTCACACTTGGAGCAGTGTGCATATGGTGGGACGCTTTCGCAAGTTGACCAGTTTGCGTGAACCGCCAGTGGTATCGTTCCATACGTTTACTACATTCACACATGCACGAAACACTCTTGTATTGCGTGGTCCCCTGAAACTTTTCACGGGGAGTCGAAAAAGTAGCTGAGGGGCAGTGCGTCTGCGATGACGGCAAAAAAAAACAAATGTGCCAACGAACACTCTCCGTCCTAAAGTTCGGTATAAGAGTTGTTGGCCACACTGCTGATCACTGTTCTGACAACAGTTGACGACACTAGGTCCTTTGCATGCATCCACGTCGCGTTCACACGAGGAGTCGCCGCCAACCCGGGCGAAGGATAACAAGATACAAGTGCCCCGAAGACGAAGTCGCTTGTCATGAGGAGAGATGTGCGTACAAAACGCGCCGGGGGTGAGGGAGTGGGGGGGACACCATTACGTGGGCTTCCTTGGAGGCAGTCACCAAAGAGCGGCTTTACTCCTGGCGACACACTGAGGCCAAGCGACACGTACTGGAGGAACAGGTGAGGGAGGTAACGAAGTAAATTGGCGTCAATGCGTTCGCTAGCACTTGGGCTTGCATCGGCAGCGCACGATGGTCATGACGTCCTTGTGGCGCGTCACCCAGTCTCCATCTTCAAAGCAGTGGAATGGCAGCGTGGTGGTCGTCGTGAGCACCGGGAAACAGCACCGGCGTCCCGGGCAGCTGCCGCAGTACTTGGGCGTTTGCGGCGAGACCGAGGTGCAGTTGGCGCCGTCTGTCAGTGGCGCAGCGCACGAGGCCCGGACGGTGGCACGGCATAAGTGGTTCCTCTGCTCGCATCGTGGCCGGCCGATTTCGCAGTAGGGATTGCACCAGAGAAAGCAGAGGGAGCGAGAAAGAAAAAGAAAGCCAGCGAGATGTTATGCAATTGAAAAACGAACGAAAACAATAAGGGCGACATGCTGTGTTAGGAGTGTAACAAGCAGCCTAGAGCTATTCTACGAGTTCTCATACAGACATCAAAGGCAAAGTAACCCTGTCACGTCTGACTTTTTCTTGATGATTTATTTTCGGGAAGCTGCAGCACTAATACAGTTTCTGTAATTGTCCCCGTTTCACAACGTACAATTATCGTTAGACCAGAACGGTACTCACCGTGACAACAGGGTTTTTCGGGTCTTTAAACCCGCCATGGCAGCTTGACACGTAGGTTCACTCATTGCTAAAGGTGCTTGAATACAATTTTACAGGCAATCATTGAATGGTTTCATTACAAGAGTTTATTTCTTCACGAACCGACTGCTGCAAGAATTTGTAGAATCCAACCAAATACGAACTGAGCTACAGGACTATGTCGCACACTTTAGGTGACCTGTCTCTCCTTTCATTTACTCATTGCTCTAGCTGGAAAGAAGGGATTAGGGCTGGGTTGAGAAAGGGGCAACAAGATTGATATTTTTGCCAGCATGCATCATAGTCTTGTGCACACGTTCCTGTCTATCTCTTTTTTTTTTCTCCAAACGCGCGGTTTACTTACACTGGGATTGCGGGCACGTGGAGGCATCCCGCGGTGACCGGGGTAACCATGCATTTCCCGACGAATAAGGCAATGACAGTGGACGGTGGGGTTATGGTGCTGTGATTTGAATTTATAGATTCATTTTTTGGGAGTATAGCTAGTGAATTTTAGCTGATTTTAAGAAATAATTGTGCATTTCACATGCTGCGCAATGCTGTTTGACTCGCGTGTTCTCAAGAGTCTAGACTGCCGACCGGCGGCGCTCTCGGACCAAGATGAAAAAGTGCTGCAGGGCCCTATCGAAGTGAACTTCGGCAATATTGCGGTATCTGCCGATTTCAATAAAACTTTCGACATATGATTTTTTTTCGGGAACCCTAGTTATATGGGCTAAACTCTTCAACCGTAAGTCATTTAGTTATTTAGAAAGCGAGTTTAAAAAAACAGAGAAGCTGATTCTGTAATGACGCTTGTAACGTGGCCCACCATGTCTACGTGACGTACAGCCTACTCTTTTTAAACATCGCCTCGCTCAGCAGACGGGTGCAGCGCACACCTTCGTTAACGACACGACTGCGACTCGAGCAAGTTTTTTTTTCGGTTTTGTTTGCGGCATAGCGAGTTATTCATCTTTCACATCGTGTCTTCGAGTAAGCACGCACAACTTTGAGTCACGAGGAGTTATATGTGGGACTGGTTATTTACTCTACATGCCAGTGCCTCGAAATTGAAAGACGATACTTCCGCGCTCCGATGGTAACTGCAATGATAGCTGAACTCGTCACATGTAACTTCAGACGGGCTAGTACAGCTTGAGTCTACGTCAGATGACATCGTCGGCTTCCACTTCGCACAATAGAGAAGCATATGTGCTATATATACACCCTGGCCAACCGTGGAGGCATGCAGCGTGTTTCGTGACCTCATCGTATAAACATAACAAAACTGCTCTCTGCTTTGGTATGAATTTTGGCTTACCATTTATTACTAATTTAAAACTATTGACGAGTCTTTCAGCAAAATGAACAAACCTACCTGTCACAGAACTCTTAATACTATTAGACAACAGCATTATTTCAATATGCTGGAAAATGCACTGGAGTTACTCTATAAGTTCTAGTGCATGGGTTTCATTGCCGGCCACGGCGGCCCCATTACAATGAAAGGAGGGTGGCCATATTCAAAGAGCATCTGTGTACTTATAATTAGGTGCACCCAGAACAATCGTACGTGGCTGAAGTTATTGCGCCATAGTCCCCAACAACAAGATGTCTCCCGATCATACAATTTTAGACGCGCAGGGACACAGTAATACCTAGTTTACCTTGATCGTTTTTTTTATTTTAATTAGGCTCTTCTATAACTGTCTGCGCAAGCGAGCAATAACCCTGGAGATGTTTCAACAAGTTTTATTGTTTATGCTTCGTGTTTCGATTCGCATGGTAATGCATGGCAGTTAGGAAAAAAAAGCTCTTTTTAACAGTTAAGAAACTATGAATTAAAACTATTTTGTAATTGCATCTTCCTAATATATATTATTCGTAGACGTTCTCTGGATTTTATCCTTGTGTAGGTCGTTGATGTCGCTAAAAAATAATTCGTTAGTTTTAACTCCCCTTTGTATGTCTTGCGAAAAATATCAACCCTGTGGCCATTTAGCGATAACAAGTTCTAAATCTCTCACTACACCATCATTCATAGCGGAGACGATGAAAGTGCAAGCCCTTTTCTCAATGTTTATTTGTTTTTCACCCATGCGTTAAAGGAAGCAACGTTTATTGATTGACACTAACGTCACATCGATCATTTCGAAAGGTCGTTTACAGCCGCTCAGCAGCCGCTATCTTTGCTAAAGTGTAGGCACCGCTAAAAACGTTCCTTTATCTGTTGTTTTCAGAATGAAGCCATCAATTTACTTCTTAAGTGTCCAATGTATTGAGTCATGTACTCACGACGGAGGCGCTGAATTTCACAAGAATATGCATGTACATGGCAAATTAGGTGATTTAGGCATAGTATTTGCACTCGTCTGTCTTGGTTGGTTATACGCTTGCAGCTTATAGTAAGTCTAATTTTTAAGTAGAGCTCGTGACTGAAATTTCTTGACATCATGCTATGCTTTATAATGTTAATCAAGAAAATTCAAAGTTTTACCGTTTGCGCCAGTGCCGCAAATGAATTTATTTTGTTTGTTCCTATGCAGCTTCAGATTTTTAATACGCACAAACCTCAGTTGTTCCCAAGTGAAACAAGTTACGCGCCTCACATATATTTCTTCGTAATGCTCTGCAACAGGCCTGAAAGTATTAGTTGCACTTCATTTCAGTATCACTTTATTACCCACTCATAGTATTTGCATAAGTTCAGTAATATTATGAAGACGACAGCTTTATTTCTGGTGAAAGGAAAAACTCGGCGTAGTTGGTGTTAACGTGGCGCAGTAAGAAAGCTCAGTAATGAATGCATCACGATAAGTCATGTGATGTTCTCGCTATTGATATAAGTGAATTGGGGTGCGTCCATATAAGCGCAGACTGGTCGTGGCGTATACATGAAAAATACCATGAGTCACACAAGCTCCACGCATCTGCGCACTTCCCCGTGACGGACACAGCGGACGTAGACGGACAAGTCTCAGCCCATAAGCAGGTCACCCCTAGAAGTGTTTGAGAGCCCTTTTAAGGCGTTCAAGAATACCAATGCCACGGGCTTCAGCGCGTCAATCTATGATGTTGATGATAACAGTGCAGCAATACGTTGTCCTCTGGGATTTCTTTACGAAAGCCTCGAGAAATTTCATGCGCAGTTATACCGAGCAGTCAAGCACGACAAAAATTTGTCTGGTCAGGTAACTCAATTATACCGACTTTTAAACACCGCTCGATATGCATCAACAAATGATCTACGTGCTTTAAATTCCCCCGCGATGTTACCTGTCAGCGTTTAATGCTTTTCGGCGTTTTCGCGTTCTGAAAAGCACACCCTAGCTAAATAGCACTATGTTTCTAAACGGGCTACGACATCAATGATACAGCTAGTGCTGGCATGAAATATAAGGCGACAGATGTGTAATTTGTTATTTTCGGGCACTTACTCTAAAACACCTTTACCTTGGAATTGCTAGCAACGATATAGGAATTTCAACAAATCCTAACCTTGAACATGCTTTTGCAGGCCTTGACTTTGAAGAAGGCACTACGAAGTGACGGTTCTTCTGCATAGTTTGTGACGCTCAGAAAGAATATTGTAAAATGACAGTAAATAGGCGATGCTCTCGAAGGTAAACAATAGTGTTGACGCTGAATGCATCAGTCACTTGAATGCTAAGTGAATATTGTATTTCAGGGAGAGAAGAAAAGCTATATCTGGGTGAAAAATGTTTCTTCGTATAAAACAGTCTTAAAGAAGAATGAGCCTGTCGACGTCATATTGAGAACGTGCTTAGCGTCAGGACACTTGCAGCTTCTATACGGCGTGAAACAATCGTTCTAAATATGTCTGCTGTCTAGGCCAACCACGCACGCAAAGAGTTACAAATAAGGTATTTCCAACTTTGTGCCCTGGTGAAGCTAATATTGAGTTTGATTATGTATGTGCTGCGTGTTATTTAACAGGTCCTACACTTGCGCGAATAGTAATTAAGAAGCATAATACTGGGTTAATATCTTTGTGATATCTGCTTATTCTGCTGTATACTTGAATGTCCCACGCAAGGAAGTTTCGTTGAATATCATAGTAAATGGATTATGCCCCTCAGCGCATCTTATTATAGAAGAACTTCTTGTTGGGCGAGCTGATGCATACCTGTTGTGTGAAGTGTTGTCAATTTTACCAGACGAATACAGTAGACAGATAAACGGAATTGTACTCTTTCCGTGTACTCCGTGCTTCTGTTGTGTTATTCCGATTGAATGCCCAACAAATATCATCTGAGTTCACTCTATTTCGAGCAAAGCAAATGTTTATCTCTTGACAAAAACTCTTTATAAACACTCGCAATCTGATCTCTTGATAAATACTCGCAATATGAAAGAACGAGGCACGTTCTCTTAAGCATTCGCCTCGGGTAGCTCGAGGGCGAAAGCCACCTTCTCTTTCTTCTCAGTCGATTGTATTCACTCTTTTTCTGCTCTCGAGAGCCAGACGAAGTTTTCGTTTGCCTCTTCAATCGGAAGCATTCCAAGCTTCGGCTCCTTACGGCGTTTTGTGCTGCTTCCATGATCCGCCCACCTTTGACGGAGCGACGATGTCATGCGATGACTTCATATTCACGGCACCAATTTTGGAGACGTCCTCATTACGTCTTATGAT